GACATTCTTGTTCGTTTCGGCCAGGTGGCCATTTCACCTTACTTCGCCTGCAGTTTTGCATGCACAAGCCATGTGGCTGTTCCTCATTTTCTTGCTGAAACATCGTCTCCTGGCCATAGCTTCGTTTCCAGATATACGACAATATATCGAGCAAGTTAACTAGTTATAACGAGTTACACAAAACAGGTTAACTACTTAGCATCTTTTAGCTAAGTCTACATAACCANNTACAACAAACCGGGCATGCCAAGTATTTACACAGTGTGCAAGCGGTGTTTACGTTTGTGTGCGAAATTGAAAAACTCGGTCGGGCTGCCTCTATGCCGGTAATCTTCGTGCGTTTCCGAGTTTTATGACTGCGGTTTCCTGGTTTGGAATATTGAACCTTTTCTGGGACCAAGGAGCAAATGTTGTGCAAGCTTCTAAGGTCGGGGATGTTCAAGCTGTCTTCAAAAGTGGCAGCGTATGGTTGAGGTTGCTCGGGTTGCATGCATCACCACATCGTGCCTTTGCCGGGAATCAGAGATATATCCCCTATCACTCCAGTGTCGCCATTGCGTTAGAGTTTCTATCCACGGGTATGAGCGACTAGTACTGTGTTTGCCAAACCCTAGGCTTCGCAGAGCATGGCACGATTTGGGGTTGTTTGGCAAGTTGCGAAACCTACACCCAATGAGCCCCCAAACCCCGAAAGAAACTGCACCGTTCGATCCTTTGTTCGGAGGAGGTGGACGCCCTAAGCCTCAGCAGCATCATGCATGCTTTCGTGCCTCGTCAGTAGAACGCCAATCGCTTGAGACGTTCAGGTTCGGCAATGCGGGGAGTTTGTGGAGATTTGCCTACTAAGTGTGATTGACACAGATGTGGTTTCCCCCGGTCCATTTCAACTTATACTGAATCCTTTCAATATGTATAAACTTATATACATATATATATATATACACACATGTACATACATACATGCATACATGCATACATACACACACACACATATACACACACACATACATACATGCATACCTACATAGATGCATACATACACACATACATACACACACACACATACATACATACATACAGACAGACAGACAGACAGACAGACAGACATACAGACAGACAGACAGACCGACAGACAGACAGACAGACAAACAGACAGGCATACGTAGGTATGTATGTATGTACGCACGTATGTATGTATATGTATATATATATATACGTATGTATATATATGCATATTTATGTATTCTATGATGTGCCCCGGCTCCTAGGCCCTAGCCCCGTTGATGTTCCGGGCTGGGTGGGCCGTATGGCATGCAGGGATGTGCACTGGAACCAACCTGCTCAAGGTGTCATTCCAGATGCCTGCCAAGGTAGTACATGTAGCAGATCAGACTAGCTGTGTCCAGTGCATTGCCAGCTTTGCCAAATTGTGTGTGGGAAATCTTGTGACACGCCATGTCGCCGCTGACGCCTGCTGCGCTAGTTCCAGAGGCTCGTGTGTCAGCGAACTCATGCCGGACAATCGAAGGAAGACTCTCTACATATAGTAAAGTTACATATTACTTACACGTAACGTGTTCAGAGCAGCCCATTGAGACCGACAAACGTGCAGCAGGGGGTCAAACGAATCTCTTCTGGGACATCAGCATGGCAGCTCTAGCTTGGGGCGAAAGCATCGAACTCAAGGGCCAATCTCAGCACTCTTGAGGTGGCGAGTCGCAAAGTCAGCGCAACATTGTCCATCTCAGCACCTTCGATTTGACAGAAATTCAGCAGGTGCTTGCTTCCTGTGCAGGTATTTAGGGTCGCTTTGTGGCTCTGCCTGAACTGTCCAGCACCAGTTGTTTTCGCTTTGAGCTCCATGGGTTGCGATGCAAGCATGATCGTGCACTTTCCTGAACACAGCGTCAGTCCTGGCAGAGTTTCAATATCTACCTAAATGGTGGGAGCCTTGCTGCCGGGATCCCCGGTAATTTTTCAATTTCCCTATATTGTTATATCATGTTATCTTACATCATAGTTGATCATATCCTACTTATAATGCAATACACTACGAAATACTGTACTGTACTGTACTGTACTGTACGATACTATACTATGTTATACTGGAATGTGGTTTTATATTATGTTTATGCTGCAACATGTTATAGTGTATTGTATTGTATTGTGTTGTAATATTAATATATTGTATCATATTCCATCATACTATCTCAGATAACACATAGATCAAAAGGTAGGGGAAGCAGCCTTGGAAGGAGCCTCACCTCGCCAAAGGGCCCTCCCATCATGCAAGGTTCAGGGAGTTTCCAGGGATTCTTAGCTCCCGGGGTTCAGAGGGTACCCTAAACCCTAAACCCTGTCGTTTCAAGACCGAGGAATGCGCCAGGAGGAAGCGCGATGCAGGCGAGGAGGTCTTCGCCCTTGGCTTTGGTCAGAGCCCTTTCCCTGTACCGGAGCCTATGGCTCCTCACCTAAAGCATGGGTTGACAGGGCTTTAAGGTTTGGGTTTAGGGTTTAGGAAGCATGGGTTGACAGGGTTTTAAGGTTTGCTCACCGCGGCGCAACTACTTGGTGAAACACCTCTGTTGTGACATGGTGTCTACGTGTTACGTGTGAAGACTATTTCCTTGCCGAGTGGCTTGCGAACGGCCATTCTGAGTCTCACGGATCCTGAAGCGTCTTTTGCGGCTGTTGGCTCTGCCGCTTGCTGTCATGTGCTAGCCAGATCTGGAGATGAGATACCCTAGGGCTCCAGTTAGCTACATAGCGACTTACTAACCACATTCTGAGTCTATGGGACCCCCTAAAGCATCCTAAACCCTAAACCAATAGCAGGTGACTAACCACCTTCTGATTCTATGGGACCAGTAACCCATGTTTGTTGAGCAGCCGGAGCCCTAGGGAGTGGCTCCGGTCGTATCCACGGTGTGGCGTTGCTGCTCTGGGTCAGCAGGGGTTTAGGGATTGAGGGATGTCAACCATGGGGATGTTCAACAGCTCAGCTTTGGGTGCCCATCGTGGCTTTGGTTCCTTGACCTCGCAGATCGGCTCCTGTGTTCGCTTCATTCATCACTGGTACTGCTCAATGCTGCATGCGTGTTGAATTCTGAATTCTGTTGTTTCGTTCCACTAGGGAAGGGGAGGCGGTGTTTCCAACGCTTCTTCAAGGCTCCCTGGGGGTTGGGAATCCTCAGCCTTGGTGCACTTAGGTGCAAGAATGCCAGGCGCATGCGCATGTCAAGGACGGCTGTCCAAAGCACGAGTTCATTGCCACGTGTTTGAGCTGGCTGCCGCGTTTCATTCAACAGCAGCTGCGGAGGATGTTGTTTGTTGGAATCTTGCACATCAGGATTACCTGCCGGTGCGCGGCCTGCCTTTGCTGCGTGAGACGATTGCCGACTGGGTGCTTCGGCTTGTCATGTGCCAGATCTCGCTCCACCTTATGTGTAGGTTTGGATTGCTGAGCACAGGTAGGTTCACATGCAGCATGGAGGCAGCTTTCATGTCGCCGCCAAGTGCAAGCAGGCGTTTTAGTCTTGCCAAGAACGCAAAGAAAACAAGTGCAGGTAGTGGTATAGCCAACAAGATTTGCATCGATTGCTAGCCGTCAAGGCCTGTCCTGTGTTTTGCGTGCGTGGCAGGCCAGGTTTCACAAGGGCGTCCCAGACGTCACGGCCGAGGACGTCCTGATTGGACCCGGGTCAAAGCAGCTGATTTACCTGCTGCAAGCCGTCCTGCAGTGTGATCTCCTACTTCCACGGCCGGCGTGGGTAACTTATGCTCCACAGGCAGAGCTTCTTCGCCGCAGAGTCTTCTGGGTCGAGACATCCGCGGAGAAGCAGTGGAAAATGGATCCGAAAGATCTCGACGAGGCGTGCCGTCTTGGCGACTCAGACTCGCCAAACCGCCTCTTCATTTTCAACAACCCGTGCCTCGCACTGGCCTTAGAGATCTTTTGGCTTTTTTGTATGTTGCCTGCCATATGAAGCCGAGTCCGATACCTGCCGACCCTGTGCCCCGACAACCTGAGATGCAATCCGACCGGCACCGCTGTGACGGCACAGACTGTCGCCGAGTTGGCCGCCGTCGCTCGAGCACATCGCCTGCTTGTCCTGGCAGATGAGATCTACGACTACCAGCAGCTGCTGGGCCTTTAAACTCGTTCTTTCTCCCATAATTTCATAAGGTGGCAGGGTAGGGATTGACTCTGCAAGCCTCAAAGTCAGAAGTCGCTCTCCATCAAAGGTTCGATGGCAATCATGAGCCCTTTGCCAAGCACTATCCTGAAGGCACCATCACTTTGACTGGTATTTCCAAGTGGGCAGGAGCGGGTGGATGGCGTCTTGGTGCCTTTGTATTTCCCAGCAGCCTACGTTGGCTCTTGAATGCCATGGCTGTATATGCGTCCGAGACTCACTCATGTGTGGCGGCTCCCATTCAGTATGGTGCTGTTCCTGCTTTCGCTGCCCACCGTGACACTCCTCAGGGTCAATACATGCGCCATTACCTCAAAGCATCTCGGAGCATTCTGGGCGCAATCGGTGAAGCTTTTGCCGAGGTGGTGTGTGGAGGCCTGGCAGTAGCAGAAAAACCCCACACCTCTTTAGTTACCAATCAGCTTCGCACGCCTCAGCATAGCTTTGGAGTAGACAGAGAGGGGAAGCACGAGAAACATGCCAGGTTCTCCCTGCGACATGATTGTGCCCACTGGCGGCTTCTATGCATGGATCGATGCTGAGTCTGGGAATCTTGGACAGCATTGAGACCTGTGCTGACTTGCAGCTGAAACCGGCCATGCTGAGTGCTTTGACCACTGTTGCCACAAGGCATTGGTCTGGTCAACCAAGATTCACCAATGTATGGGAGTTGCTGTGTGTATAGGGTAGGTTTGCGCTGTGGTAGGTAGGGCTAATGGCCAGCGCACACCACGAACCCTTAACCACGACATACAGCATAGGTCTTGAGTGTGTCAGTGCGTGCGTTCAAGCCACGGATTGTGTTCTTCAGGTTGAGCTGCCGCGGAACCGGCAGCCGTCACACACATGCATGAATATTTTGGCAGCCGAACACCATAGTTCTGCATGTGCATGCTGTCAGTCGGCTGGTTAGGGTTCAAAAAGCGGGTTCTACACTAAGGCAGTGGTTGGGCTTGTCGAGTAAACTCGTGCTGTGGCGGCGAGCCGACATTCGCATGTCTGTACTGGGCTTAATCAAGTTGCGACTGCAAAGGCCACCTCTGCATCGTGCCACACACACACACACACACACACACGCACGTGCACACACACACACAGACACAGACACACCCACACCCACACCCACACCCACACCCACACCCACACCCACACCCACACCCACACCCACACCCACACCCACACACGCCCACACACCCACGCCCACACACGCCCACACACCCACACCCACACCCACAGCCACACACGCCCACACGCCCACGCGCACACACGCACATACGCGCACAGGCACACACGCACACATGCACACACGCGCACAGGCAAACACGCACACATGCACACACGCACACACGCACACAAACGCACACATATACTTGCAAAACGAATAACAATCACAACCAAAAGCAAGCTAACACACCAGTTCTCTAATTAAGGAATCGGCGCGAGGCCTTTGTGCGCAAGGCTGGCTTGTGCCGACTCGATGCTTTCTTTCCTTTCTTATGCAGAGTGGGATTTCTAAATATTGCATGTACATACTGTATGTATGTATACATCATATATATATATATATATGTATAAATATATGCATTTACATACATACATATATATATATATGTAAATGTATATAGCCGTTTACGTATTTATTTGTTGTAAGTATAGGCATACACAATATATATATATATGTATGTATGTATGTATGTATGTATGTATGTATGTATACATGCACACACATGCATGTGTGTGCATATATGTATGTATGTATGTATGTATATATATATATATATTTGTTTAAATACTTATTTATTTGTTTGTTTAATTTCCATATTTGTATGCAATTGTTATGGGTATGTGTATATATATATATTCATATATTCACGTATTCATATATTCATATTATATATATATATTCCTATGTATATATATATATATACATATTCATATATATATATATACACATATTTATGCCATATACATATAGAGATACATATGCATAAAAATATATATGTATACATAAGTTCATACACATGCACAAGCTGAACTCAATGTTCAGGCTTTGGTTCTCTGCCCGCAGTTGAGTTTAGGGGGCTGCTAGGTGTAGTGGCGTAGGGCTCCGTGCAGGGTGGCACATGGCCTGATGGTCTCGCAACTCAGTATGTTACATTCGAAAGGCCCCCCGAAGCCTCGCAGGCATGTTTGAGTGAACCAGCATGTCGCACTGAAGTGGTAACTCTAGGTGTGGAAGGCCCTCAAGCCTCCGGCGGCAGAGGGAAAAGCATTTCATGGCCGTGGCCCGTGGCCTGCTTCCACATAGATCGGCTCAGAAGACCCCTGACTTTTGATGGTGCAAGAACGACCCAACTGCAGCTCGGGGCTAAGCTTCAAGGGGCGGATTTTTCGCAAGCTGCAACCACCCATAAGCTGTTCGGGCCGGGGTCTTTGTTCCGAACAGACAGGGGATCACCACGTCCGGGCAGCTTGCGCAGCGTTTGCTCGACGAGACCGGCGTCGCCACTCTACCTGGCTCCCTGGTAAGCTTTGGATGTCAGGGATAGGCTCTAGACTTACTGGGGTGCATTCATGCATGATTCTCTGTGCTAGATTTTGGCGTGGCACGCTGTATGAAGAAAGGCACAGTCCGCATCTCGAACGCCCGAACCATGGTAGGGAGGACTTGGTTTGCCTTCTCGGGCAGGTGAGGTTGCAGGGCATCGTGGTAACCATGGCTAGTGCCTCATGGCCGACGATCACGAAGATTTCTTTGATGTGAAGTTGTCGTGGTCGTGGTGGTGGTGGTGGTGGTGGCGGCGGTGGTGGTGGTGGCGGTCCCGGAGGTGGTGGGGGTGGTGTGGGTAGTCGTGCGCGGCTGGGTTTGAAACTGATTCTGATCGTGATGATGGTGATGAGTTTGATGTTGGTGGTGAGATTCAGAGTGAGGGCAAGCTCATCCTTACTATTCCGCATGCTTTCAGGAGAGAGCTATGGCTGGCCACCGGAAAAGCTCTGCCTGCATGTTGCGTATGTGGATTTCGATGGTGGTGCTGCAATCGAGGCACAGGACGTGTTTCTTGAAGTGCACCCGGTTTTGTTGGATGCCTTCCACTCCCCCCCCGAAGGAACAACTGATCGACTTCTAACATTGGCGCGTGGGTAGGGCTCATGATTAAAAGTTGCAGTATGTTACAGTATGAAATTCCCCGAAACCATACGGTACTCATTAAGGCTCCTGTGTTAATTGGCTTAGGGGTTTGACGAGTTCTACCTGACGTACACTTTGAGCGTAGGCCGCAAGCTCTTGCAGTTTAGGGTTTATAGGGTCTGCAGAAGTGAGAGGGATTGTTTCAATCTCTCTACAGACTTGCCGGCTGAGCCGTTCAGCCAGAGAGGCGCTCCGGAAGTCGGATATTTCGGGCCGAAGAGACGTTTCGAAGGCAATCAAAGGCTGCCTCCCTACCTCAGCAAGCTTCCCAGCCTGAAGCCTCCTTGCAGGCAGTGGGAAAACTACCCCGCTTCAGTGGCAAAAAGGATCCGGCGGGCGACGCCCAGCTCCTTGGAGTTCATGGCTTCGGAGCTTCGGGGCCCCTGTCATTTACCCAATCTCGGTTTGGGAGATATTGAGTCGAGAGGATCGGTCAAGAGACAAAGCAGCGCCAGACCTTTTTGCTTGTTCCAGCCTCTCTCTCTAGGAATGCGAGTGAAGAGCAAAGCTTAGTACTTGTAGTTTGAACTTCCAATTATTTACGGACTTGATTACGATTAACGGGCTCATGTCATGTCTTCCATCACAAGGCGGTCAGAATTCGGCTGGCATCAGACGAAGCTGAGCTCCAAGGGAAGATGCCCCGGTACTCCCAGCCCCAAGTTGCTCAATCCTGCCTTAATTCATGGGGAACATGCTGATCAAGCTTGAATGCAGCGTCACTTCACCTGCGAACTTCTAGTCCTGCAGCTGGTGCTTCCAACCTGTTTGGGAAGCTCCCTGCTAATCTCCAAATCAGCGGCACAGTGTGACGCCCTAAGCCAAGGTTCGTGCGCGAGTATGCCCCTCGCGTCTACCAGGGAGCATGGAAGCTCAGAGAATGGTTGGCGCAGACGCGATCGCCAAACGAGCCCCTGCGTGAGCTGAATGGCGATCCAGATCGGAATCGCTTGACCTCGAAGGCTGAGAAGCCACATCTCCCGACCTTAGGGGCCGGCAAATGACTACTCTCAAGGCTCGGCCGACCAAAGCGGCGGGCCGCAGAGTGTGCGCAAAGCACATGCAGTAGAACCAGAGCATTGCCTGTCAAATGTTCGAACTTAAGGTTGCCTCGAAAGTATCGACAGTTACTGGAGATTTCTAGCGGACTCCGGTGGGCAGTGGTCCTTTACCTTCTCATGGGTACAGTTTCTTTCTTTGGGCAGGCAGATGGCATCTTGCACATAAGGATACACCCGGAGGCTTGGCATTCTGCAACACATCTTGGAAAGTTTCTCAGGAGCACACTTTCAATGCTAGATTGTCCATGGAATGTTTGATTTGGGTTATATAGGATGACCAGATCAGACTAAGCCTTTCCGCAGTGTGCTGCAGACATGTTCGCTTCCTGGGATGGGCTTTCTAGAGCAAAAAGAGGCCTGGTGCAGTGGTGCAGAGTTTTGTTTGTCTCGCCGACGGGAGTGGTGTGCAGCCTTCTAGATGGGGATTCCTTGAGAAGGCTGTGTTGGGCTTTGGGACATGGTTGCTGTCATGAAGCATGGCATTTCTTTATCGCTTGGGGTTCCGACCCCGCACAAATGAGGCCGATTCACGTTGTTTTCCCGCTCTAGGGGTTCTTCTTCTATTCGTGATTTGAATGTTTTGGTGGCTCCCAGCATGGGTCCAGTGCTTGAGGGTTGCTGGTCTCAGTGTGCTTTCAAGCAAAAACCGGCATCGCGGCGGCTGCATGAATGTGTCGATTTTTACTCGTGTGGAACTGTTCCGAGCCAGATGTCATGAAGGCTTCACACACCACAGGTCTCCCAGCCATTTTGCGAGACAGTGGGACTGAGAGACCATCGCCACAAAAAGGCAACCTCTTGGTGTAAAGAGCTTCCCGCTGTGAGCTTGCAACTGGGAGTTTCTCAACAGAAGAGAGGCGCAATTTGAGCATCTAAGATCTGTGTATTTGCGTTAGTCGACCTCCGAAAGACATTCCCCGTGCGTGCAAGAGAGCAACTCCCAAAAGCATCGAATAGTCTTGATCGACGGCCGCACAAGACGGTGGGTGGCAGAACAGTGGACAAGCGAGCCCTTCACTTGGGTTTGCTGCAGTTCCAGATGTATTGAGCACTTTGAGGTTCAGTGTTCATGTATGAGAGCACACCGGTAACGGAACATCAGACGCTGTGTCGCCAGACATACCCGGTAACGAGAATGAAATCCCTACCAACAAACGCGAAGACTGTCTCTGCAGTTGAATCAAGCTTCTCTTGTCGGAATCGATGTCCAACGTGTTTTCCGTGTGGAGGTTTCGTGATGTATGGGGCAAGGACTTGCACATGCCAGCTGGTGGTTCTGTAAACATAAACCTCATAGGGACTGGATGACATGGCTGAACGAATGTGGCGGACAGATCGAGAGAGAAAGTGGAATGATGAATGAAGTCAGAAGGGGACAGAAAGACACGAACATTGGCTGAATTGAATGAACGAGACCTGTAAGCATGATGAGAGGAATGAAAATCAATAGACTGGATGAAGTAATATCACGTGCTTTGGGATGACATGGTGCGGACCACATGCAATCGCGCGCATGAACTTACTGCGTGCGCATGCGGGGACGTGCGAACATGTCTGACAGGCCGGATGAAGCCATGCTCGATTGATAGTTGTGTCACTCATTCAATTAAGGCGTGTATCGGCCAGCCACGACAAAGTACCGGTCGCATAGGACTTGATCTGGATTGAAGTAGGAGATGTTCCCAGGTCGGTTTTACGTTCAAGAGTCTTAGTTTGCCCGCACACCTTGCCAATAACATGTGGGCCTGCAGGTAGGTAGGGGCATCCAGGAATGCGTCGGTTTGTTGTGTGTGGGTGTGTGTTGGTGGATCGCGCTCCCGCGTGTTGCGCATTTTTGATTGGATCAGTGGATGGATGGCCCCTGGTATGCGCTGTATGTACCCACAAGTACTTATGCCAGGTAGGCATGTGCATCCATGCAGTCAGCTGGTGGCAGGCATCGCGGGTACCAGTGCGTGGCAATTACATTTCCGGCTTGAGGTTGTTCAAGTTCGATGATTTTTCGGCGGACGCACAAAGAAACATCTGCGCCACCCGAGGCCACCCGCCTTGATTTCAGCAGCTCCGACTTCATAAAGGCAAGGTGCCTGCCAGAAGCAGTGCATGAATGGACGAGCTGCGGCATGCTGAGACAGCATGATCCCATCGCCGAATCCTTGTTCGAAGGCAGTTGGTACCCATCGGAAAATCACACCCGGATCATAAGGAGAGAAGGACCCCTGCCCAAGGAAGAACTCAACAGACACCCGCTTCTCGTGACATTCCCTGACTGGGGCCCTTCACTATACCTCCCACAGCCCGATCCATATGTGTGGTAGCCAGAGAACCCAATACCCCGTAATTAAGGAATATACCTTAAATCATAATATTAAGGTCCTTATAAGTTAAGGTATATTCCTTAATCAAGGGGGATCTGGGTACCCTCCATTGAGTGTGGAGTCAGGTGGTGCGATTCTGCCTGCCGCGCAAGGCTGAGGAAATGTTGACGCTTGATGCTATGTACGCGCGCATAAAACCTAGCTACATTACATACATGCGCAATATGCATACATGCGTACATACATACATTATATCACCTACAGGCAAATGGATATAATTACATGCAAATGCAAGCATACCTAAATGGTCACACGTACATAAGTGACCGCATGCGTGTTCGGAAGGCATGTTTAAGTAGAAATGTGCTTCTAACCCAAGCCTGCCAGCAAAAATGAGCAAAGTCAAGATATGCTGGTGAACATGACTATCAAGGATCACCCTGACCTGAAACTTAGCTGTTGCATGTTTTCTCAGCAGACGTTTGCCAGCTGCTTTCGAAGTCGCAGTCGGGCTTCAACTGGGACCGCCAAACAAAGCTGTAGAGGTACATGAGGAATA